AATAATACAAGGTAGAGACCCTGTATTTGTTGTCCATTAATGACCAGGACTCGTTTATCTCTATGAAATTATTCATTTTCAAGATTCAAATTTCTTCAAATAGCATCATTTTCCTTCTGATATTTTTGACAGGTTAACATATAGGTGGTATTACAATCGTGTGTGATGAGATGAACAAAAATCCAAATTATAAGAAATAGTGCGTTAAGAGCTGGATCCTGTACTCGCAAACTAATATCTACTTGATATTATTTATACCTAATGTACGCAATATATTGTCTAAAAAAAAGGGAATAACAGGAGGGATTAAAGTTCTGAGTTAAAGGGTATACAGCCCACGCAAAAAATATCCAATCTTCAAATTTCAGTTTAGAATTGCGCAGATGTTTTGAAAAGAAAACGTTTATAAACATTAATTAATAGCACCAAATATTGTAAATGTAAGAGGTTTTATGTTTAACTCATGAGTGAAGCTGTAAAGCTTTAAAGAAGCTAAGATGGACCTTTGCCTTGACATGGTCTAGTTATATCCACACATATAACGTCAATTAGTACTCGAGGAATTCTTTCCAATGTGGCGTCTTTCGTTGCATTATTTAGAAATGTGTATTGAGAACACCGTAGTGTTCACCCCTCACGGCACATAACTAAGTGAAAGAACTGCGAACTCACATAATATCTTCTAAGAAGCCTGTATTGTAAGTAACAGAACAAAAAGTAGTCTTAAACGTATTATTAATTCTTCAAGGGTCTTATAATTTCTCTAACTAATTAACTTAGAGTGAAGTGTTAACTTTTAACTTTTTTAAACTTAGAGTGAAATGTTGTGAGCAAATTTTAAGTAATATTTATCTATAACCTATTTATCTTTATATATATTTAAATATACATTTAAGTAATGTTAAAAATGAAAACTTAAATTGAAGAGTTGTACTTAAAATCCGAAAGTAATATTAAAAAACTATGTTCTTGAATATAAAAATTTAATATAACAACTGAAGGTCTAGTATAAAGTAAACCAAACCAGAAGATAATCTCAACCATCAATGTTTAACAATGTCATAGATGCGGTTCATGACACTTTGACCCTCACTTTTGCCAATATTGTGATGAAAAAGTATCGTTACATTGACGATAATGCTCAGCTCAACTAAATAATAACAACAACAACTACAACAAAAGTAACGAAAGCAGCAACAACAACATCCACAAGAGTCATAACAAAACAGCAGATAATATCTGACAACTTAACTTGAGCACAGGAAAATCCAAGTGCCAAGGAAAATGTAATAGAAAATTATGCCAAAGTAGATGTATAAGTGCTCATGCAAGGATTACGGTCATTTTCATGTACATTGAACTAATAACAATAACTTTACTACTAGAGAGAAAACATAATCAACAGATTTGTTAGTGTTAAAAGTTTGTATCGCACCAATCCTTGGCCTTATTTATAAAATAGACAACGTTGACTTAACAATGCTCGTGTATATATCGTCCTTAGATTTTTTACTTGGTTCTTATCGTGTAAAAAAAAAATGGATACCATTTACTATAAATTCTTTAACCAATAAAGTGTGTGTTTGATATGGTAAAGTTTGTGTGAACTTCAACCTAAAAACCCATGGTCAAGACGCTCGTGATTTCTCATTTTTGCTGTTACCCATTTCGGGTTAAATTTAATGAAGCGAAAGTTATCATTAAGAAGGACTCTATGTACTACACTGTGAAGAACAGCTAACAGCTACACATACGTATCCAATCCATTACTTGTGTACATAGTTTTATTGGACTTGAACAAGAGTTTAGCAACACTTTTGCCACGAAACATCTTTGAAATTTATCTTGGCTTGAAATCAAGAATTACTTAAGCATAGAGGAAAAACTTCTGCAACAATTTTGCAATAAGGTTCTTTTTTACACCAACCTACCCTACCCAATTTACCACAAGGAAAATGTGTTTTGGTTGACCATAGCTTATCCATAAAACTTACAAAAATTGGACACTATTCAAAACATCCTTAAAGATATTCGAACCTTGAAACTATTTTACTGCTTCCAATTGGACGAGTGTAAGGAATGTTTGAAATCAAAATTTATGTTCTTAAGGATTGTTTATTGTTGGTTTTAAATGACTTATACCTAAATCCCAATTGGTAGAAAAATTGTGTCTTTTAAGGATATATGTAACTTTTTTGGCAGTAAAGGTTTTAATTTATAGGTTATAATGTATATTTTTTTTTAATAAATGGTTTTAAAGGATTCAGTTTACTCTAACACATACGATAGATATATGCTTTCATATATGTTATTATACAATAAAGAAATGAATTTGGTTTCTTTAAAAAAAATATATAACCAAATAAATAAATCCAACACAATATGAAAAATTAACCCTAATATACTTCCATATATCGACTTTTATATACATTATTAAAGGAGATCATATCAGATCAATTCCAGTGATTAGCTGTAACATACTTGCGCATATATAGTTTTATATACAATATTAAGCATTAGCATTTCTCTCTAAATATATGAATGGAATCAAACAGATGAATATAGCAGAGTTTCAGGGATTAACGAAAGACAAGGAATCAAAAAAAAAAATTTTAATCCTCTCTAAATATAATATCAATCCTCTAAAAATATATAGTTGGTTTTACATTAGGCATGATAAATCTCATTCGGAAGGAAGAGGAGACACACAACAAACTGATAAGTCGGACTTGAAAAAATACTGTAATCCATGAAGACGACTCGAAGACGACATTTTTAGTGATTAAAGAAAGACAAGGAATCAAAAAAAAAAATTTTAATCCTCTCTAAATATAATATTAATCCTCATAAAATATATACATAGTTGGTTTTACATTAGGCATGATAAATCTTATTCGGAAAGAAGAGGAGACACACATAATGCTTAAAAGTCGGACTTTAAAAAATAATGCAATCTGTGGAGACAGCAAAAATACCTTTTCTTTTTACGTTAAAGATGATTATTCTCATTTGCAAAGAAATACTGGAATAATCTGTCAATGCTTTCACAATTGCTATCACTTATAAGTAAATTTAATCTAAAACGATTTATAGATTGTATACAACTAAATCAAAACAATTTGAAACTAATTTTAGAACTTCCGACAGGACACTGTAGATTGAATTATCTGCTTACAGAGCTAGAACTCACTATAAAAGAATGAATGGTATTATAGGAATGAGTATGGGACTACATAATACATGCTGTGGAGTTTCCGCAGCCTTGAGGCATAAGCAGGAGAAATACCTTACTAAGCATTTCATATCAAATTTAGAAATAGAACTTTGAAAAGTAGATTCAATACCACAATTTATTGGATGACGAAATAAATTTCTGGAATTAGGATTCAATACTACTTGGAAGTTGGACTTAGAAAAATACTGCAATGCATGGAAATGGTATGCGATAAGTATGATTATTCTCATTTGGAAAGATGAGGAGAAGTACAAAAAATTATACTGGAATTACCTGATAGGGTTATCAATATCCAAATCAGTTATAGGGATTTAAAACCCGAAACAATTAGGGGATTCTATACAGCTAAATAAAACCAACTTAAGACTAATTTCAGAACCTCTGAGAGTGTACTGTAGGTTGAGTCATAGCCTTACTAAATTGAGAATCTGCTCTAATGGAACTTGTAGAGAAGATAATGAGACATCAAAATATATGTTGATAGACTGTCCAAGCGAAAGAACTACCTAGCTGAGCATCACATATCGGATAAAGAACATGTGTCCTTTAATGACGGCTCCAATGTCACAGTTTCTCATAGATGAGAACTTGGAGACACAAAGTAAAAAATAGAATTTAGAGTGATATAGGAGGAGAGTGTAAAGTTATGTACTATCATCATATTATAATACTACTTTTATATTATTATTTTTAATTATAATATATTTTTTCTTATACTTTACATACTCGAAATACATTGAATGTTTTAGTTTAATCTTGAATTAAATTCAATCTTAAATGCAATCTTCTTTCACAAGCAATAACACAGTTGATTTCGTGGTAAATAAAAATTACAACCAAACCCTTAGGACTTGAATTTTATGTTTTAAAATGTTCAGTATTATTATTGTTACTGAAATTTTCAACTACTATGATAAATGTGAACAGCACTCTTTTATTAAATATGCAAGCTTTTAGATTTTATATGCACTGCAAGAACAAAGTAGACAAACTTTTTCCAGTACTGAGCCAGACCATCACTACTCATTATGCAAAAATTTAGCACTTAGTGTGAAAATTTTAACCTAAGGTTTGTACTACAGAAATTTTAACTCAATTTAGATACAAATTATGCCCTGCAATTCTCTAACCCTGCTGCATATATAGCATATATATATAGCATATAGCATAGATAATACGAATTTCCGGTAAAAAGACCAATGATTAGGTTCTTCTAATGATCAGGTTAACAGACGGAAACCACTAAATGCGGACAAGAACAATACATGTCTCTAACAACTGAGTAAATAAGTTTATTATGAGGAAATTCTGATAAAGTTTTATTTGCTCCAAAAGCCAAGATAAGAATTTATTCAATAATTAAAAGAATAAAATATGAAGGTGATAAATTACAAAACATCAATAGAATGTGTTTTGGTTCTTTAAGAAAGTATTTATTATTGGTACAAGGATGAGGAATTTTAAGTAAGAAAGGGTCTATTCCAGAAACCTAATAAGATTTTGATTAAACTAACTAAAACTGTTACTTTAAAAATAGATGAAGTAGAGTAAAGTAATCGGTAAATAAATTGTTTTTATATTTTAATGTATACAAATTTGTCATCACAGAAATATTAAAATTTTCTGTATCCTTCAAGAAGCTAACCTTATAATCATATTTCAAATTATTTCAACACTAATCAACATTATTGTTAACAACATTTTAAAACAAAAAAATATTTTTAGTCACTGTGCGAGCACTTCGCATGGAGTGTCTGCAAAGTTTTCACGCCAGGGACTCAATATTTGTGCCATCATCATTATCAACATTATCATTATCATCATTATCATCATTACCGCCAACAGCGAGGAAACTAAGCGAATAGCGCAGGAGTGAATTCTTGCGACGCATTGCACAATAAAGTTCAACAGTCCGTTGCAATGTGGCGGTAACAATTGCCTTTATAATGGCAACCCTTTCAGAGTTGCATGCAACATTTGTTGTACCTATGCACAGCATGTGCCATAGACTGATGCACAGCAGTGGCTTGATTTAGTTTTGGAAGTTATAAGGATGGCGCACAAGTAGTAAAAGAGAAGAATAATACAAACTAAAGCATACTTCAAGGCGTGTTGCCGAATTTATTTGTATTTGTGCGAATCTTTGGATCGTCGTGCTATACAACACTAAAAATAAGAACGTAACTCAGAAATATGGCAAACAATGCTCTGTAATGTGCACCGTTAAGCATTTCATAGTGTACACGAGATTGCTTCCCTTTCTGTCTGCATTTGTTTAGTTTTTTACAAAAGAAGTTTTTTGTTGAAAAATTGCGCAAATATCAGCAAATGGAAATTACAAGACTCTTCATTCATTTTTCGCAGGTTAAATGGGAATGTAATGAGATTGTTGTAATCTAAGCAACATTGTGTTAAAAATACACATAAAAAAATATTTGAATCTTGTAACATGAAAAGATATTACTCAGAAGGAAATTGTATTCAAAACAATTATAAATTTGTTTTATATTCTCTATCATTACATATAAGAAAGTTCGCTCGTACCCTCAATTAAAAGTTTAATTTATATTGCATACTTGTAGACAGCTATCCATCTGGCTAAAATAATCCAGGTTCTTTGAGATAGCGTCAGATCACAAGACTCCACAATATATTAATAACGTGAAATCAATATCCTTTATGCCAGACAAAATGGAGTGGGAAGAAAATATATTCAATAAAACTTCTGGTTCAAAGATGACTCCTAAACTAAACATAGTTCGGGCTATGGATTCTACAACTCAGTGAACTGAATACCTGTCAGATTACGTACAATGACTTGAGATTTTAAAACAAAATCTGTGTCATGAATATCTGCGGTAGATATCTGCTTGGGAGGACAGCATTAAATACATACGATTCACGCTTACAATGTTTACAACCACTTTTCAAACACAACAACTTTAGCGCGAAGAATAAAAAGCTGATCTACAGTCAGATAATTAGTCCAGCACTACTTTATGTAGGTGTCGCGTATAACAAAACTGCCGATACTACTATCCAGAAGGTACAAGTTGCTCAAAGTCAAGCTCTCCAAATACTCTTCAAAGTGTCATGAGACATTCGCATAAATGACATTCTAAGAGACCTTAGAATAGATCCGGTCAAAAAATACATAAGGAACAGTGCCCTGATGCTATTTGTGAAAACCGACAGGCTGTCCTACTTAGCGCTATCTAATGGCAGAGTAGTCACTAACTACACGGGGCGCTACGCAGATCTTAGATCAGTCATGGAATAATCACGAAGCTTATGAGGAATACACAAATTAGTCAGTAAGATGGATGGGACTCTGCAGAAACCTCTTAGCTATCAAAGAGTACAATTGTACAGATGCACTAAATAAATTTATTTTACACTGGATAGTCGCTTATAGTGGGTTTTATGACTATTTAGGAGCATTTGAATTTGGTAAGGAGCTCTGAATACGTGATTTGAGATATAAGTGAAGTGAAAGAAATGCTTCAGTGATGATAGATAGGTAGAGTAGTCTAACAATGGAAACACTATCATGGACAGTCAATACTTGAGCCCATTTAAATACGGCAAGAGCTTTTTTTATAAAAAAAATATAAGATAAAAGCTGAGAGTTTGACTGAGTACTGAATGATGAGATTGAAGTAGCATGATGAAAGCTGAAATGAATATGAATCGGTTTGGAATACTTACTTTTTTAGTTGGCTAACAAACGTGAGTCGTCTATGGCTGCATTCAGTACCGTAAGCCAGGCAGCCCGATTAAAAAATTGATGTTGATGTTGTCAGTGGGAAGTATCGCCACCATAACGACCTGCTGGTACCGAATAAAACACTTTCTAGCTGACTCGCGGTATAGCTGAAGTAAAGGAAATTATGCTGTTAAGACAGTTTAGTAGCTTTCTAAGCATATGGATCGATAAATAAGGGAACTTAAATGTTCTCTTATTATTGGTTATAAATGTTTTTCTTAATAATATTATCTCAGTAACTTGCTCATACTTACTCTTGTTATAGGTTAAGTCAATTTTTATAAAAGAAATGTTTTTACTAACCGGCTTATATGCCCGTTTGTTGTTGATTAAATCTATTTTTATCAACGAAATTATAAGAGGTCTTACAAATCCCTTAAACCAACAGGTTGACAAAATAGCATAGAATCATATTTATTTTTATTAATAAAGTTGACAAAAAAAGTTGAGTGTAGACTGCATTTCGTTTTAAAATAAAATATGCACTATTTTGTTCAGTGTAACTTAAGTGCAGCTATAATTTTTCTTAAATGCAAGTGAAAATTAAATTAAATTGTTTGTTAGTTATACTTCTATTTCCTCGCAACTAGAAACCTATTCCCGCAAAGAGAACTCACAAAGATGTCGCAACAATGTAGGCGACGATGTAGTCGGCAACCGCATGAGCAGCACTGATAAAGTGAATCTTCTTTCCGCTTAAAACGTTTCTTAGCTTCACAGTAAAGATGCTCGAGAATCCATTCTTCGCTATTAGCGACTTAAGTGCCCCGCAGCAGGACATAAAAACCAACGCTTAAGCAGGAAAAATTTAAAGAACATTTGTGTTTAGATATTTTTTGAACTAAGTGACAATCATTTAAATATAAGTTTTGACAATTTGTTACTCGGTGAAGTGAGTGAAGTGTGTTGGTAGTTAAACACAGGAAAACTATTTGTAAACCAAACAAAAATTAAACTCAAATGTGATTAGTATTCGGTATAGCGAATCTGACGGCTATATTGCATCCCTGCGATTAAATTGAAGTTGAAGTTTTATTTTAACAAATGTCCTTAAACGTTTTCAATAATATTGTTAACTAATGATTGATATGTTAGTCATTTATTGCTTTTTCATACTTGACCGTGCTTCCTGCCACCCTGCAGAGCACGCATTTCGGGTGGTGCGCGACATTTGGGCGACTTGCGTAGGAAACGCCTACTTAACGTATCAGCAGTGCAGTGCAGAAGTACGGGTAACTTGAAAATTACATAAGAAAATAACTGTCAGCAGAAGATAAGATATGAACTTAATAGACTTGTAAAACATACGCTTCAGTAACCCCACTGGCAGCAACAGCAAATAAAAAAGTATAGAAAACAATTTCAAAACTTTTGCTTTCACTGCAGCAAACTAATAAAAATCAACTAACAAAATAGAATGGAATGGAAGTTGGAAGTTGGAAAAGAAATCTTTTTAACAATTACTTTTTACCACTGTACTGACTCCGAACAGGAGTGCTTTGAAGTTTGTATTGTGTGCAGGAGATGTCTTATCTGAAAGTAACAATTTTACTTGTCAAACTGGCTGAAGTGAAACACCCGTCCTGAATCATAGCAGAAGACATTGAAATGCATTAGTGGATATACGTATAAGCTTTTGCACCACGACGGGGTGTATGTCTCGTCGTGCAAATATTTATCTTAAAAACTTTTTGTTAGCTTTCTCATACACCATCCCATACACCATTCTGCAACAATAATAACTATTAGAGCAACAACAATACCCCACCTTGAGTTAGCTAAATATTGCTAATATGGAGCAGCCTCCTTCTTGCTACTTCTTATATTGTTTATATTGTTTTCTGCGTGTTTGTTTGCTGCATTATCAACTTTTGCGCCATTCTGATCAGAAATGATGATGTTCTGTTGACATTTTGACTTGAACTTGCCTCTGCAATTCTCTTCAGCGCGACATGTGTCGTGTCATGTGGTTTTCCGTGTCATTTACTGGTGTCATAGTTTCATCTTTACTGCAAACATATGTACACTCAACACCAGACCTCAATGATACCATTTTACCATTTAAATGCAGAGCAAGAGGATGAATAGGAAAACCCAACCTATGCATGATGAGACATTACAGGATACAGGATAGTGTGCGGAGTAGAGAAGTTAAGCCTGCTTATTGCCTTTCACTTCCTGTAGTCAATGATTTGTGCGTTCTGCAAGCCACTTTCTAAGCGACTTCAGTATTGAAGTTTTTCATTGTACCAATTCAAAGTCAATTTCAATTAATCAAATGTCAAGTATTTGACATGAAATTTATAAGTTATTTAATGCGTCATTGGTTTGGTGGGGAAATTCATATGAAATTCATTTTGATACATTGCCAAAACAAATTGAAATAAGAAAATTTTTAGCAAATTTTATTTTTTTCTTATCATTAAGGATAATCCTCAGATTAGACAATTTTGGGTGATTATATTAAAATTTATTCATTTTTCAATGTCTTTCAATTGAGAAGAAAAATAAATCTTCTTAAATATTTTCGCTATAAGCAGTTTTGAAATGAATTTCACATCAAACGGTATGAGTATAGAAAGAAAGTTTTCCTATTGGATTAATAATTTCGAAGCCACATGAGATACTCGAATTTCAATGAATAAATAAAATAAATAGTCTTCGTTAATAAATCAGTATTTTTATTTTCTTCTTATATATCTTCATTGAATAATTGTGTCAAATGTTCTTTAAATACGATTCGTGAGTACACGCCTTTGTTTATTGGTAGAGTTCATAAAAAAATCTCAGTCAAATTGGAACTGATGAAATCATGATGGGTCAAAGTATGACCTATATGTACATTAAATTAATTTCAAAGAAACATCAAAAAAACCAATTAAAACTATATATATAAAAAATAATTATTTTAATTTAACATAAAATATTTTATATTCGATTCGCACAAATTTATAATATTGTTGTTAATAATATACGATATATCAAAAACATATTAAAAAATCGAATTTAAAAATGTTTATTATTCAAAGTAGTCAAGTAGTAGTCAAGTTCAGTAGTCAAAGATGGATATAGGCACAGGATCTGGAATATATTCCGCGAACATATGGATTTGTTAATCTTGTTACATTCGTAACTGCTCTCCAAATTTCAAGCAGAAATTTTTACCATTAATTACTGATCCTTTGTGCTGTTAACTGTGCCAAGCTGTGGAATTAAAGCAAAAGTATTCATTTGAGAATATCCTTACGGAGTTTAGAACTCTCGGCCCAGTAATCTTCTCCTGCTTCAGATCAGAGACGGACAGTCACACACAATATGATAAAAGGTCTCATCTATCGCCAAGGAAGACGACATACTATCTCTTTAGACAGACCGAACTTATTCAGATAAAAACAGAGACCATGATGACTGGTCAGTTAACCTGCTAATTACTTTAGTTCTGTACTACTTAAAGAAACGTTCAACCATATTTGTATTGACAATCCTTTGCCCTGACAAATAATCAATGTGTCACACAAGCGGTACATTGCATTGGTTACATGTTGGTTAGAAACGTCTGATCTGCTTTGTCATTGGTCACAAACATGCTACAAACTAACTTGCTAAAGGATCTTAATTGCAACACCTTACTTTGAAGAACATCTTACGCTTCATTTAATATTCGAAGTCGGATCCTGAAATATTAAAAGGAAATCTAAGAGGAATATTTACGTGCTCTTAGATTTATAAAAATCAAAATGGATCTCTTATGTCACTGTAATAATCTAAACCAATCAAAGTAAGAAAATATTTTGTAATGAAGTTCTTATTAAGGGTTACTTTCGGTTTGGTATTCTTAACATTAAATTTTAAAATATAAATGTTGTTAACTGCTCTAAAGTAGTATATATATTACATAGGTATATATAAAAAATTACTGTTTAATTTTTTTTTTTAATTCATTGCGTTAAATGATTTTTTGTCAATATTTTAAAGTGATGGCAAATTTGTTTCCTGCATTTTTAAAAGTTTACTTGCTGAACACTAAACGTCACTTACAGTCTTAACGAAACAATCGGTTTAAAATATCTGATCAACATATTTCAGTAAGTGAAGTGTAAATATTCCACCGAAACAACAAAGTTAATAATTAATGCGCATCAACAGATTTTTGGTTGCCAACGGCCAAAATTGGTAGCACTTAATGAAAAAGCTGAGTTGAGGAAGGATAAAAAGTCCAGAGCTGAGGAAGAAAAAAAATTTTTAAAACAAAAATTATGTTAAATGTACGAGGACATTTTTCATGCATATATCGATGCTAGCATAATTCGCATATCTTTGTAGGCATTACGTGTGTGCGACATATGAGTAGTACAGTACTTTCTATATAGAGAGATAATCATACCTATATATAATTTTTATTACTTTTATTTTCAATAAATAAAATTATATATTTTTGATCATTATAAATATTTTTTTGTTTAACTTATGTTGCGATTTATACAATAAAGAGAAAACTAAATAAGCTAAAGTGGAAGAACAATGCGAAACGATCACTTGATGTTTTTTTTTTGTTTTTGCGGAAAGGAGACTTAAAAATGGCTGACGCATCGTCACTATATCGTTAAATGGCTTCGTCACTATATCGTCACAATAGTTGTATGCTCTGTTTGCACGGACTAAAAACAATCTCCCTCATGTACCAGACCGTTTACATACTGGAACTTTATCACGAATACTCCAGGATGGACCCTATCCTGAAGTATGTCTTCAGGAATGTTGATTTTCCAATATAAATTTTTTTGTTTTTCTTTGTTAGAACGTTAGCGTACAAGCTTCTCTTAGGTTTATTTGTTTTTCTCTTTTTCGCTTAGGTTTTTAGGCCATTTTTTGAATCATATTTTTTCTGTTTAAGTATGATCGGTCTATGGTGGTCCAGTTTTCTTCAGATAGCATCATTTTTGTTATGATGTTTTCAACGTTTATTTCACCGACTATTATTTTAAGTGATATTCTTGCGGTGTTCCATCTGTTGCATTTGAAGATGGTGTGCTCAGCGTTGTCTTCGTCAGCATCTCCGTATATACATTTTAGCAATACTGGGCTGATGAACACCACAGTCAGATATCTAGTCAATACTTGGTATAATTCAGACAAGAAACAAACTAGTCAGCTACTTCAACTAAAGCGGAACCTGTTTAGCACCACGGTATCTGTGCTGACGGGATATTGCGAAATAGGAAGACATGTTATGAGACTGGGTCGACCTGGTGTCTTCGTCAGCATCTCCGTATATACATTTCAGCAATACTGGGCTGATGAACACCATCGTCAGATATCTAGTCAATACTTGGCCTAATTTAGAGAAGAAACGAACTAGTCAGCTACTTCAACAAAAGCTGAACCTGTTTAGCACCACGGTATCTATGCTGACGGGATATTGCGAAAGAGGAAGGTATGTTATGACACTGGGTCTACCTTAAAATGATTTTTATTGAGGTTGTGGTTCTGAGAATTAGAAGGAGACCGTGCTCCTTCTCATTCTCAGTGTCCTTCATTGTATTAGTGTCTTTCTTTAGCTAAAAGAAGATTAAAAATCTTCGGATCCCCTTTTCTAACCGATTTGACTGAGCTGTCATCCTGTAATGTTAGGTACTTGGCCAAGTTTATAGAACTGTCAGGTTGGGGGAGTGGGGGAGTCATTACCTTTTTCGGCATTGGCTGTATAGTGACTTAAATCTATGTACGTAGCAATGTTATTCCTGTGGTATCAGATTTCACCATCATTTGAGCTCAAGCGGGCTTTTTGGAAACAAGGCCGCCACTTCAACCTACCTACCTACCTTTACCGATCGAAAACCGCATGCAATGTACCAACTTTATTGTGAGATATTTTTGAGTGTGTAATTTTTAGCGACATTTCACTGTATTTTAAAATGACCATCATGAGTAAAGCAGAGCTATTGAACGAGAAACATGTAAATTAATAAGAATTTTCACGCCGAAAACTGCAACTTCGTATTTATGTGGCAAATTATGTGTACAGGCATTTCATCTGTGCCGGGTTAAGCCTTTAAATATGGATGTATCTATGTG